CTGATGAGAGGTAGGTACACTGAGTCCGTCCACTAGTAATGTCTGATGAGAGGTAGGTACACGGAGTCCGTCCACTAGTAATGTCTGATGAGAGGTAGGTACACGGAGTCCGTACACTAGTAATGTCTGATGAGAGGTAGGTACACGGAGTCCGTACACTAGTAATGTCTGATGAGAGGTAGGTACACGGAGTCCGTACACTAGTAATGTCTGATGAGAGGTAGGTACACGGAGTCCGTACACTAGTAATGTCTGATGAGAGGTAGGTACACGGAGTCCGTACACTAGTAATGTCTGATGAGAGGTAGGTACACGGAGTCCGTACACTAGTAATGTCTGATGAGAGGTAGGTACACGGAGTCCGTACACTAGTAATGTCTGATGAGAGGTAGGTACACGGAGTCCGTACACTAGTAATGTCTGATGAGAGGTAGGTACACGGAGTCCGTACACTAGTAATGTCTGATGAGAGGTAGGTACACGGAGTCCGTACACTAGTAATGTCTGATGAGAGGTAGGTACACGGAGTCCGTACACTAGTAATGTCTGATGAGAGGTAGGTACACGGAGTCCGTACACTAGTAATGTCTGATGAGAGGTAGGTACACGGAGTCCGTACACTAGTAATGTCTGATGAGAGGTAGGTACACGGAGTCCGTACACTAGTAAAGTCTGATGAGAGGTAGGTACACTGAGTCCGTACACTAATAATGTCTGATGAGAGGTAGGTACACGGAGTCCGTCCACTAGTAATGTCTGATGAGAGGTAGGTACACTGAGTCCGTACACTAGTAATGTCTGATGAGAGGTAGGTACACGGAGTCCGTCCACTAGTAATGTCTGATGAGAGGTAGGTACACGGAGTCCGTACACTAGTAATGTCTGATGAGGTAGGTACACGGAGTCCGTACACTAGTAATGTCTGATGAGAGGTAGGTACACGGAGTCCGTCCACTAGTAATGTCTGATGAGAGGTAGGTACACTGAGTCCGTACACTAGTAATGTCTGATGAGAGGTAGGTACACGGAGTCCGTACACTAGTAATGTCTGATGAGAGGTAGGTACACTGAGTCCGTACACTAGTAATGTCTGATGAGAGGTAGGTACACTGAGTCCGTACACTAGTAATGTCTGATGAGAGGTAGGTACACTGAGTCCGTACACTAGTAATGTCTGATGAGAGGTAGGTACACGGAGTCCGTACACTAGTAATGTCTGATGAGAGGTAGGTACACGGAGTCCGTACACTAGTAATGTCTGATGAGAGGTAGGTACACGGAGTCCGTACACTAGTAATGTCTGATGAGAGGTAGGTACACGGAGTCCGTACACTAGTAATGTCTGATGAGAGGTAGGTACACGGAGTCCGTACACTAGTAATGTCTGATGAGAGGTAGGTACACGGAGTCCGTACACTAGTAATGTCTGATGAGAGGTAGGTACACGGAGTGCTCTAGTAATATCTGATAAGTAGCTGCTGATTCAGTCAGCGAGGCTTTGCCTGCTATATATAAAATATAGATAATAATAATTATTAGAACGTTCTAACATAGTCATTTGTTGTTTTTTTAAAACACTCAGATCCATCAGTTTGAGCCTTTCTCACATTCCAATTGCTGCTATTGATTCAAAGAAAAGCACAAAAGTGATGCCCATTTATTAGCTCCAGGCTTCCAGCTAACACGAACATGGAGGAAAACCTGCAGGACATCGGGCAGCATGGACTTTATAGGGGGCTCTCTGGTGAGATGTTCTGCAGATATTCTCATCACTCAGGTAGTATTATGTCTAATGGCTAGATGGAGGATCCCTAGTATTCTAGCTCCCTCATGACCTCATGTGGTTAAATAAGGGAACTACAGTACAAACTATACTAAATGCAATGCTCTATTGTGTGTGACAGTGATTGCTAACCTTAGCATTCCAGATGTTCCTTAACTACATTTCACATCATGCTCACACAGCCTTACGTTAGTTCAAAATCTCTAATGAGACAGAAAGGGGTATTTTTTATATACACCCCTACATGCTTATTAACCCTTAATAGGAAACACATGGGATGGGCGGAGGTAACTAAAAACCTCCATTTGTTTAAAAATACACAGGGATGTGGAAAGTGCGCAGGTAGCTTTTTTTCTTTGGGTTTTACTATATGTATTTTGGCTGATGTGTACTATGGTCGTTGCTGCCGCCCAGGAGTAATGGGAGTTTGAGCGCAGGACTTGTTTCTTTGCATTAATATAATTAAAGAGTCAACAGCCACTCCTGTACCTCTCCCTCCCTGGAACTCCTATTAACGTGATTTACCCTCCATCATAAGATCTTCCTCTCAGTGTATATGTCTGTGACTGTTTATACTTGTCTGTGTACCTGTCCATGACAGCCTGTACCTGTCTGTGTCTCTGTGCACCAGTCCATAACTGCCTGTACCTGTCTGTCTCTGTGCATCTGTCCATGACTGCCTGTACCTGTCTGTGTCTCTGTGCACCTGTCCATTACTGCCTGTACCTGTCTGTGTCTCTGTGTACCTGTCCATGACTGCCTGTACCTGTCTGTGTCTCTGTGTACCTGTCCATGACTGCCTATACCTGTCTGTGTCTCTGTGCACCTGTCCATGACTGCCTGTACCTGTCTGACTCCCTGTGCTTGTCTGTGTCTCTGTGCACCTGTCCATGACTGCCTGTACCTGTCTGTGTCTCTGTGCACCTGTCCATGACTGCCTGTACCTGTCTGTGTCTCTGTGTACCTGTCCATGACTGCCTGTACCTGTCCATGACTGCCTATACCTGTCTGTGTCTCTGTGCACCTGTCCATGACTGCCTATACCTGTCTGTGTCTCTGTGCACCTGTCCATGACTGCCTGTACCTGTCTGACTCCCTGTGCTTGTCTGTGTCTCTGTGCACCTGTCCATGACTGCCTGTACCTGTCTGTGTCTCTGTGTACCTGTCCATGACTGCCTGTACCTGTCTGTGTCTCTGTGCACCTGTCCATGACTGCCTGTACCTGTCTGACTCCCTGTGCTTGTCTGTGTCTCTGTGCACCTGTCCATGACTGCCTGTACCGGTCTGTGTCTCTGTGCACCTGTCCATGACTGCCTGTACCTGTCTGACTCCCTGTGCTTGTCTGTGTCTCTGTCCATGATTGTCTGTACCTGTCTGATTCCCTGTGCTTGTCTGTACCTGCCTGCATTTGCTTGTACCTGCCCACAGCTGCCTGTACATGTCTTTATCTGTCTGTGCACCTGCCGATGACTGCCTGTACCTGTCTGAGACCACCAGTCCCTTTCCATAACGTCCTCTACCTTTCTGTGTCTCTGTGTACCTGTCTGTGATTGCCTGTACTTGTCTGTATACCTGTCTGTGATTGCCTGTACTTGTCTGTGTACCTGTGTCTGTCTTTCTCCGACTCAGTAGAAATAAAGGGTTCAGCAGGCTCTCCATTTATTTAGGCATCCACACAACAAAATACATTTGACATTTTCTCTTTTGAGAATAAGTCGCTTCAGTTTACCCTCCCAGCCTCCGCACGCCAAGTGAGGATGTCCCCTTAAGGTGTCTTTGTAAAATATGCAATTGAGGGTCAAGATTATTATTAGCATTCTAGATAAAGTGATATATTCATATTTCTCTCTCTTTATAAAGTCATCATTTTACGTAATATCATGTATTTGTAATTCTGTATAAAGGTATATTATTATAGTGAGATATTTGTCTTTTTATAAAATAGCACTATATATAGTATATAAGTATTACATAACGTTATATATTTTTCTTAAAGCCCACCACTAGGTCACAGTACCCCAATATCGGTGGGTCGTACACTAATTTCATCATGGGAGAGATGCATGCTAACCGCAATACTTATAGCTTAAACTGCTTCCAGAGACTCCCCTCACTCTCTGAATCCCCATGTTTGCTTGCGGAGATAGGTGATTTTAAGTAGACTTGTAAGAGATAAAACTGTATTTTGTTTGTGTGTGCGCTGTTCCTTAATTATATTTTGTATACATTTTGGTCTTCATAGCAGAACCACTACTGAGTTCCCCACAATTCCCTCTTTTATATAGAAAGATATATAGTTCATGGGGTAAGGGAAATTGAATTCCATAGGAAGATGCAGTCTGTGAGGGGATGTTGGGAGATGCAGTAGTGGGGG